TGTGGTGAGTGTGTGTGAGGGATAGAATTGTCCTTTAATACACATTATACATAGAATACTACTTAACCAATTATTAGTTGTTTGATAGTTATATTTGTCAATTTTTCTAAATCTAACCTTTCTTTAGATAAAAAAAAAAATGTAGAAAAAAGAAGTTCACTACAAAAAAGGTAACATACAACACCCAAATTTTAAATTTGAAATAATTCAAATAACCAGAAAAACACCCAAAAAAAAACTAAGAGAAGTAGAGCTTAGTCGACTTCGTCAATCTTGGGACCAGCACCACCTGAAGGAGGAGCTTCATCATCGTCCATTCCGGCGGCTGAACCACCAGCTCCTTGATACATCTTAGTGATGATCGGATTACAAATACTCTCCAACTCCTTCATCTTGTCTTCAAACTCGTCTACTTCACCCAATTGGTTACCTTCAAGCCATTGGATTGCCTCATTGATCGAATCCTCAATCTTTTTCTTATCCGCAGCTGAAAGCTTCCCTCCGACCTTCTCGTCTCGGATTGTGGTCCTCATGTTGTAAGCATAGTTCTCAAGAGCGTTCTTGGCTTCAACCTTCTTCTTGTGCTCCTCGTCCTCGGACTTGTACTTCTCAGCTTCTTGAACCATCTTCTCAATCTCGTCCTTGGAGAGACGACCCTTGTCGTTAGTGATTGTGATCTTGTTCTTCTGTCCGGTGGACTTGTCCTCAGCAGAGACGTTGAGGATACCGTTTGCGTCAATGTCGAAGCAGACAGTGATCTGAGGGACACCACGAGGAGCTGGAGGGATGCCAGAGAGCTCGAATTTACCGAGGAGGTTGTTGTCTTTGGTTCTAGCTCTCTCTCCTTCGTAGACTTGGATCAACACACCGGGTTGGTTGTCTGCGTTAGTGGAGAAGGCTTGCTCCTTCTTGGTTGGGATTGTCGTGTTTCTCTGGATCAAAGTGGTCATGACTCCACCAACTGTTTCAATACCGAGGGAGAGAGGAGTGACATCGAGCAAGAGAAGGTCTTGGACCTTCTCGTTTCCTTCACCGGTTAGAATCGCGGCCTGCACAGCTGCACCATATGCAACGGCCTCGTCGGGGTTGATAGACTTGCAGAGCTCTTTACCATTGAAGAAGTCTTGAAGCAATTGCTGAACTTTCGGGATACGAGTAGAACCACCGACAAGGACAACATCATGAACTGAGCTCTTGTCCATCTTAGCATCACGGAGACACTTCTCAACAGGCTCCATACACTTCCTGAATAGATCCATGTTAAGCTCCTCGAATCTAGCACGAGTAATCGGAGAGTAGAAGTCAATTCCTTCGAACAAAGAGTCAATCTCGATGGTAGTTTGCGCGGTTGAAGAAAGAGTCCTCTTTGCTCTCTCGCAAGCTGTTCTCAACCTCCTTAACGCTCTCGCGTTACCGCTAATATCCTTCTTGTTCTTCCTCTTAAACTCTTGCACAAAGTGGTTAACCATCCTGTTGTCGAAATCCTCACCACCGAGATGAGTGTCTCCAGCAGTTGCCTTGACCTCAAAGATACCTTCTTCAATGGTAAGAAGAGAGACATCAAAAGTACCACCACCAAGATCAAAGATCAAAACATTCTTCTCTCCAACACTAGTTGCCTTCTTGTCAAGACCGTAAGCAATAGCTGCAGCGGTCGGCTCGTTGATGATACGCATTACGTTCAAGCCAGCAATCACACCAGCGTCCTTTGTGGCTTGACGCTGAGAGTCGTTGAAGTAAGCAGGAACAGTAACCACTGCGTTCTTGATAGAAGTACCAAGGTAAGTTTCAGCGATCTCACGCATCTTGACGAGAACCATCGAAGAGATTTCTTCAGCTGAGAACTGCTTCTCTTCTCCTTTGTAGTTGACTACAATCATCGGTTTGTCTGCAGGTCCGGAGATGACCTTGAATGGCCATAGCTTCATGTCGCTTTGGACACATGTATCACTAGCTTTACGACCAATCAACCTCTTTGCATCGTGGATGGAGTTAGCCGGATTCATAGCAGCTTGATTCTTCGCAGCATCACCGATCAACCTCTCGGAGTCGGTGAAAGCGACGTAAGACGGTGTCGTTCTGTTACCTTGATCATTAGCGATGATCTCAACACGGTCGTGTTGCCAAACTCCGACGCAAGAGTAAGTAGTTCCGAGATCAATTCCGATCGCTGGACCTTCTCCTTTACTCGCCATTATCAAAACTAGAAGAGAACAAAAAGAAGCTTAAGAAAGACGAAAGAGTTTAGAGCAGAGAAGCTAGGTTTTAGTTTGTTGTGGAGAAAAAAGAGCGTCCATGTTCAGGTTTATATAGCTTTTACGCTTCATATTTCGAGAATGTTCTGTTAAAGGTTTTTTTGACCGTTCGATTAGCTTAAGATTGATCCAACGGTTTTAATGAGATGATACTTTTTTCCAATTCTT